TAAAGGCATTCGGGGACTTGGTCATGCTTGTTAAAAGCCTGCCTGAAAAGATGGGTCTTGAACTATCTAGTGGAAGGATAAAAAAGGAAGGGGCCAGTCTGATCTCCTGAGGGAGAGCATGCCACAGAGAAGGCGCTCCCTTGTGACCCCATCAGCCGTGCCTGTGCTGGCCATAGGACCGAGAGGAGGGCCTTCTCTGACTATCTTAAATGTTGAGAAGGCTCGTATGGTGAGATATGGTTCTCCAGATAGCTTGGAGCCAAGCCGGATGGGGGAGGGAGGTTGTGGGTAATGACCAGCATTTTGAATTGAGCTCAGAAATTGATTGATAGCTGGAGCAGTTTTTGTAGCAGTTGTATCCTCCCTGTAACTGTCCCCAGTCTAGTAGTCAATTGTTTTGCTGATTGTTGCAGGCTGACTGTAAGGCTTTCTTCCAGTGTGGTTTGGAGAAGTGAAGGGGGGAAAAAAGCATTTTGTCCATGAGCCAGTAATCTCCTGAGTTTGTCAGTCCTTCGTCAAAAATGCCATGGAATTGCCTCGGCAGTGCCGCAGCTGCCTCCTGCCCTGATTTTTCTCACATTCTGGGGGCATGGCGGCACCAGCACAGGACTCCTGATCAGTGAGTGAGTTCAGACTGTACTTCCATGGACACGGCTGGCACATCTGCCCTTTTCCTGCTGTCTTTGTATTTTTCTGGCTATATATTTCCTGTATTTTCCTCTGGACTGAGCATGAATAGGGGGAAGAGAGCCATTCCACTGACAAAGTGGCAGCAAATCCCCAATTTCACTATTATTTAAGTATCAGGCTGCTATTCTCAGTGAGCAAGTGCAGCTCAGGGTCAATCTAGATGATACATATAATGTGAGTTTGTGTGCTCCAGTGCTTGCTTTTCTTTACCTCCGTATCTTGCACTTCACTGCAGTTGGTTCCTGGAAGATAATAAGCACAAGCCTCCTTGGGAATTCAGGCTGTTGTTGCTGGTGGGAAAGCATTTTTATCACAGAGGGTATATATTTCCATTAACATCTAGTTTTACCCTCATAAAGATAAGAACAGAGAAGGCTGCCTTATTTAAAATGATTCTATCTATCTATTGCTCAACGTTGTATGCACAGATTGTCAGAAGCTTTCAAGAGTTTAGATAGGATTTCCAAGATGGAAGAAAGGATATAAAAATATTAAATAAATAAGGACTGTACTGATAGCCTGCTGAGCAGGAGACGTTTTGGAGACCTTCAACAAGAGGAATGACAGTTGGTCAGAAAGCACGTTTAAGTGGCTATTGATCTAAGAAGCTTAGTCAACTGTTACATAGTGCAATTAACTGGTTCATTTGTTTTTTATCAGAACAGAGAAGACTCAGAAAAGTCAATGTTGTGAGTTTATTGTGCCATAGTTGATGCCTTACACAAAAGTAAATACAGAATCTAGACTGACCTAATCCTTTCCTTTGGGCCCAAGAAGAGTTTTGTATGCAAACTCCAGTTTTACTCCTGCTAATGACTACTGGTGGGTTTTCCAGTGGACACAATGCTTTCTGCTATGTTGCTTCAACTTCTAAGGCCTTTGGCTAGCCAGTTCAAGATGGGTGAACCAAATACAGTGGTGCCTTGACTTATGAACTTAATCCATATTGGAATGGTGGCTGTAAGTCAAAACGTTCGTAAGTCAAAGCAGCATTTCCCATAGGAATGCATTGAAAACCAATTAATCCGTTCCGGCTGGTTTTTGTCCTTATGTCAAGGCACGGTTCGTAAGTCAAAGCATTAGTTCCCATAGGAACTAATGCAAAGCCGGTTAATCTGTACTCTACCACTAGGAGGAGAAAAATTTCTTCTTTTGATCTAAGATGAATTTAGGTCAAAAAAAGGACAGGAAAGGTTTTTTTTTCGTTCATAAGTCAAAGCTCCGTTCGTAACTCAAAGCAATATTCCGCACCCGGAGCTGTTTGTAACTCAAAACGTTCATAGGTCAAGGCGTTTGTAAGTTGAGGCATCACTGTATGAGGTATAGGGCAGTGATGGTGAACCTTTTTGAGCCCAAGTGCCCAAACTGCAATACAAAATCAACTTATTTATTTCAAAGTGCCAAAACTGCAATTAAAACCCGAATGCTGAGGTTTTAGTTTAGAAAAAACAACTGCTCCTGTACTGCAAGGGTTAAATGCTTGTGTTTTTTTCCCATGGGCAATATTACCAAAGAAATACTTACCAGTCCTCCAATCTCCCATTGTACTCAACCGGTAATGGTTGCCATTGCACCCCTCCGCCAGACCACTGCACCAGCAGAGGGGAGTGCCAAAATCCGGGATCAGAGGATAGGTAAATATTTCTTGATGGTGCCTTATGGCTCGGGTGCCCACAGAGAGGGCTGTGTGTGCCAGCTGTGGCACACGTGCCATAGGTTTGCCATCTCTGGTATAGGGTATGTGTGCGCCTCAGAAATAGGGGAGTATTCCAAATCTCATCAGCCCCAGCCAATATGCTTAGTGGTCAGGGATGATGGAGTTGTAGTCAGACAGCATTCTGATAGCAACAGGTTCCCCTTTCCATGTCCTGGGTAAAGCATTTGCAAATATGTAGAGGTTTCAGCCCCATCTGCTGTGGATTCTAAGGGAAGACTGCCCACTGATTTTTCTTTTTGTGCTCTTGTTTCCAGATGTATACCTGACACATCTTTCCCAACATGTGTATAATTTTTCCAAGTCAAAATGTTAGGAATATACAATATTAAAAATGGCAGCCAGTCTAATTGCATTTATGATTTGTATTAATCAACTTCTCTTTAAGAACATATCCAGCCTACCACTGATAACAAACTAATCATCTTAGGTTTTTGTGTGTTGAATAAGGCAACATTAAATGAGTACGGATAACAAACTAATCATCTTAGGTTTTTGTATGTTGAATAAGGCAACATTAAATAAGTACAGTGGTGCGCCACTTGACGACTACCCCGTTTGACGATTAAATTGTGCCCCACTTGACGATTACCCCATTTGACGATTAAATTGCTTGACGATGAGTTTTTTGCGATCGCTATAGCAATCACAAAACTATGATACAATAGTTTTTTTCCGCTATAGCGATCACAAAACGATGATTCAATAGTTTTTTCCATTTTATGACTATTGGTTCCCTGCTTCGGGAACCAGTTTTTTGCATTACGATGATTAAAAATGGCTGATAGTCGGGTTTTCAAAATGGCCGCCCGCTGTTTTCCGGACCTATTTCCGGAAGACAGCAATGCAAAATGGCTTCCCCTATGAAGGATCTTCACTGGATGAGCAGGTATTTCCCCCACTGGAATGCATTGACCGGTTTTCAATGCATTTCAATAGAGGTTTTTTCCGCTTAACGACAATTTCGCTTAACAGCGATTTGCCTGGAACACATTATCGTCATCAAGCGGGGTACCACTGTATTAAACTATTCTATTATTCATGAAGAAAATTACATTGTAGCAGAGGAATATGGCTCTATTCAGATAATAATATTCTTAAGACATGGCAGGAATGAATCACTTTTCAAACAATATTTCATTATGACTAACTATAGATACCATCGTACTTAACAGGTATGTTGCAAGTCCAACTTGAATTGAATTTATTAGTTTTTTTCTGATTAGCCACACTGAGAGGTTGATGTCATTGTTAACACAGCATAGGGTAGGCTGAGATCTTCCCACAAACGGATACATGAAGTATGGAAATTATATCTTGAAATGGAATCATGAAACAAATTTTCAGCTGTTTCCGGGCAAATGAACCACTGTGTTGCAGCCTGCATTATACAGGACACCACACAGGTACATGTTGGCTACCCAGCGCACCGAGGGCAGAGTCCGGGAAACAGCAGAACAAAGTAAGGCCAAGTCCTATCGGATAGCATGTCCCTTCCAAGCAGTGAATTTCAAAACTAATGTCAAGCACCATGCAAAATTTCATCAGCCCAGTTCAAACAGAAAGCAGGTGATTGATATTGCAAGACCCAAACGTCTTGCCATTCCCAGGCTTGTGGGTGGCGGGGGAGGGCTCAAACTCCTCCCCACTGGAAAAGTCTTCATAGTTTAGAACTGTAAAGTTGGAAGGGACCCTATAGATCATCAAGTCTAGCCCCCGCCGAGGAGGCGCAGTGGGGAATCGAACCCGACCTCTGGCTCTGCAGCCAGAGACCTAAACAACTGAATTATCCAGTCATTCTTCTCATGTGGGTATGACAGATTAGAATCTGCGACAGTCCCAGGCCTAATTATTTTCCTGCAGATGAGGGCCCAGCTCTTAATCTAGGGCTAGTATAATCAGACCCCTAGTAACACAGAACGAAAGATGCTTTACCTCCCTACATTGTGCCCCATTCTCCTGGGGCTTGGCCCGCATCCCCAGGTGGGGGAGTTTTTGCTCAAACAGAATTGGGTGACTTTCACTGTGACAGGAAGGAGGCCAGCAGGACCATGAGAAAGTGTCTTCTTGCAGTTAACATCCAGTGCAAAGTGTGTTGCATAAATTCTGCTTGCATGCTCCAGTGTTATACATCATCTATATTACAGTTAGTATCCTTTATAATCACATGACCAGTTGCCGATTCCTTGTTAGCAAACTGAATGCAGGTAAGCCTTGTTTTACATTTATTATCTATAATATTTTGATCATTCTTTGCATTTCGCATAGGGTGTTATTTATTTGGTGAAGAACGCAGTGATGAGTACGTAAATAATTATATTCCTAGATGAGTCTATTCTAACTTTTGGAACACAAATATTAAGGTACTTATGAAGATCAAAATAAAAACAGTGGCTATATCAAATGTAAAATAAATAGCAGAAGACATATGGTGCAGTAGTGGAAACAGACCGATTCCAGAGAAAAGAGCAGATAATCTTTTCCATTTGGGGCCCTAAAGGGGCCTCTGCTAAAGATTCATAACAACAATGACAACTTCACCCTTCATTGATCGAGTCTCATGATATTTTATCACATTGCTTTGAATATGGAATATTCTGCATTAGCCAAACAGGGGAGAGTGTGCCAAGTTTTAACAATGGGCAGAGTGTGTATTTAGCAGTAAGCAAACTGTGCAGTTGAGTCACAAGTATGCTCAGACCGGGGCACATCCCTCACATCCGTGTGTGGACGCTCACAGGGAACGCCTTTTTCCTCCAACCAGCCTTTTCTGACAGAAGCCACTGCGAGGAGCTCAGAGCCGAGGAGGGTGGTGCCAAGTTACAAGCAGGCTGACTTTAGTGCTGCGTGGCTGTTCTCTGAAAGCAAGAGCTAAATCTAATCTTCCTGGACCGCCGTGCACAGCCGTAGATTCGTTTTTGCACACTTCAGTGTTTTCAAGGATTGCTGGGTTGCTCTGGGGCATTGTTTGGCCCATGCGGAGTTGACTGTGGGGAGACTTTTGGGAAGGCGGAACAAGGACTCTGTAACTGAACACCAAATCCACAGCCTAGAAAAAGTTCACGGCACCGGTAAGTTTCCTGTGAGAGTCAAAAGAGAGGAGTTGCACTGTTTTCTGTTATTCTGGTAAGTGACTTCTTTACCTGTCCAGTAACTTTAATAGAAGAAAGTTGAACTTGGAGGAATGCAACAGCAGTAAGCCCAGAGAAAGGCTCACAGGTCTGGATACTGTATTTTGTTTGCTTTTCCATGGTTCCTGGTGTTTTTTCCTTTTCATTACTTCTGTTCTAATTGTGAATCAGCTTAGAGGCTGCAGCTTGGATGTTTGTCAGAGCCAAACTTTTCACAGAATGATTTGAAAATGCCTTGCTTGTTTCTTAATGTGTGCTTGTTGGAACAGCTGGAAATAACAGGAATTAAAGGTGGTGAGTTTTTTTTTTTAATCTCCAGCTTGCTGCAAAACTGCACCTCTTTCAATGAGATGAAAGAAACACAGGACATGTTAGTAATAAAAGCAGGATCGTGTTTCTTCTTGCTTAGGACATAAGCGATTCTAACTGATTTCTCATTTCGTTATTGTAGCCTTTTGAAATATACTTATGACAAAGTACAATTATCCAGGTACTCTAACTTTGCTGTTAGTTGGCTTTTAAAGATACTGATCTCTGCTGATGTGTACAGGAAGTTTTGTGGTAACTTTTTTAAAAGCAGTATCATGAAATCATTGTGCTAAGGAAGTTAAAAACAAGTGGTGAAGTGGACTATTCTCTGCATGCTTTTCTGAGGGGAGAGGGGGGTGCCCCCACTAGAAACCGTGGCCAAATAGATAGGGAACTATAAGCCAGGATTGTGGAGAATGCTGTTTTACTGAAAAGAAGGTGTTACACATGTTGTTGCAAGCAGCCTGCTTTCTCCTGCTTGGACTGCTACTTGCACAAACTCATAAACAAAGCAGAAGCTAATCAGTACTGTAACTTCTTGTTTCCCTGCCCGCCTGCCCGCCCCACTTCGGATTCCGAGGCTTCCTAGGGATCCCTTAGCCATCATGGCTGAGATCCTTAATAATATGTATGATCCTTCATGTACCTGGGCTAGAAAACATCATGCTGAAATCCTGTTTGCGTAAATTTACAACCATGCACGGTGAATCACTTCTACCAATAGTAATTTTTATATATAGGGATCCCTTTTGCCCCCAAGAAGCATTTGATAGCCTTATGACTATATATATGTGTGTGTATATATATGTATATGTGTGTGTATATATATATGTATATGTATATGTATATATATGTATATGTATATGTATATATATGTGTGTGTGTATACAGTATATATATACATATGTATATGTATATGTGTATGTATATACTGTATGTATGTATGTATATACTGTATGTATATACTGTATGTATGTATGTATGTATGTATGTATGTATGTATGTATGTATGTATGTATGTATGTATGTATGTATGTATATACTGTATGTATATATGTATATAAACAAAAGTCACCCCACTCCAGTCCTAAGGCTATCAAATGCTTCTTGGGGGCAAAAGGGATCCCTATATATATAATAATATCTAGCTAACTATATATATCCCTACAAGCACAATCATAAGTATTATTGGGGATCTTAGCCACAAGGGTGTCCAGTGTCCACATGTGCAGCTTGTAAGTGGTGTTTTGGGGCATCACCCTATCACAGTGTCTAATAACATTAAACGTCTTTTTGTTCTGTAAAAAGCTGCATGGACAAAGAGACTCTGTGCAACTAAGAGCAAAAGGATTCTGAGTAGAGGTAGGGGTATTTTTATACAAGTACAAATATCACCACCTCTGAGTGTAAAATGCTGGCTACCTGCCATTGTGGTAGTTCAGGTTTGTGGCTTATATGGCTTCTATTGTCCTCATGCAAAACAGAGAAGCCAAGAATGTAAACAATTGGGATAAAATGCACATATCAACCCACAAGGTAACTTACAAATTGACTGGCCTAAAATCGTGGTGGGAAATGGCATCCAGGTCTGAAGCATCTCACTTCCAGACAGATCAGCAAGTCTGTGGTCTCCTTTGCTCTAAGAACTTCCAACTGATTTCCCCCCACAGGAAGCATTGTTTTAATGCCTTGCTAGATAGCATTAATTCTGTCAAGCCAGGGACCTAATCCTGAAGAAATCCAGGAAATTGTCTTCTTTGTCATGTCTCTGTGTTGGCTGTAGCTGCCTCTGGATCTAAGCAATCTTCCAGTACTGTACTCTTGAACACTCTTGAAGCACTTTAAGGCATGGCTTGGCTCTTCACTGGGCCTGCTGCACCCTAAGGCAGTGGTCCCCCAGCCTTGGGCCTCCGATGTTCTTGGACTTCATCTCCTAGAAATCCTGTCCAGCAGAGGTCACCACCTCTGAAGGCTTCTGGGAGTTGTAGTCCAAGAACATCTGGAGGCTCAAGGTTGGGGACCACTGTCCTAAGGGTCTCACACTTTAGTTAGCCAAACAGAAGCTTATGGCATTCTTCTGGCATGGCCATCCATCCTTTATTATTTACTTTCCCTCCTCTCTGAACAAACACACTCAGCGCCAGTATTTTTTTTACTTGCACTGCCTTGATGCCTTGCATACCTACTCAGACAGCTCTGCACATTGGATCGCCAAATAATCTTTTACAACCTGAGAAACGAGTATTGCTGCTTTTAGAGTGCAATCATGTCATCAGCAAAGCCTTTGAGAGTTCATCACTTTGACTGCCACCAGATCCTGGGAAGCTTTGACACTGTATACATGAGTGAACTATTGGAGCTGCTCACCATTTGTGGGTCAATCTGTCTGTCTTCCTACCACATTTTAAATTCCTTAAATTTCAAGTTTGTTTGCATTTCCAGCTATACTGGTTGAGCTGACTGGATAACACAACTACAGTGGGGTCTTGACTTAAGAACGGCCCGAGTTAAGAACATTTTGACTTACAAACCACTCTCATAGGAAAATATTGATTTGACTTACATACTTAGATTTGAGTTATGAACTGAAAAAAACCCACGTGGGAGGCAGGGAAAGTGCAAAATTTGAACTTTCAATTAACAGTTGGCCAGTGAAAAGGGTGCCTGTCTGCTTCCTCACTCCTCCCAGCGTTTAGAGAGTGGATTGGGAGACAGTCTTCGGACTGCCTGGTGCTGTACTGCCAGGACTGTATTTTCCCTGCCTTCCCTGAACCTTTCTTGACCTAAGAAAAACAGAAACAAAATATCCCCCTCTAATGGTCGAAGGCGGAATAGCAGCTTCCCATTAGTTTCTATGGATGGAAAAGAGCAGATACGGATCAAATGGTTCTCAATGCATTCCTATGGGAAATGCAGATTTGACCTGAGAACTTTTTGACTTGCGAACCACCTTCCAATACGGATTAAGTTCTCAAGTCAAGACCCCACTGTAGCTAATTATAAGCCATTTGTGTCCCCACTAACTGAGACATAACTTGACTAAACTACAAACATAACTTAAAGATGGATAACTTCAGCCCTTTTGCATTGTAACTAACTTTTGCCTTTATAGTTTCTGGATGTGATCTGACTTAGAGGTGGTGGTTTTGGTGATGCTGCTGAAATATACAGTGGTCCAAATACATTGGTGCCTCACAAGACGATTGCCTCACGGGACAATTAATCCGCAAGACAATGTTTTTTTGCGATTGCTGTTGCGCTTCGCAAGACAGTTTTTCTTATGGGCGATTTTCGCAAGACGATGTTTGGGTCTGTGCTTCACAAGACTTTTTTTTAATGACCGATGCTTCGCAAGACGGTTTTTTCCCCATTGGAACACATTAAATAGATTTCAGTGCAATCCAATGGAGAACCGTGTTTCGCAAGACGGGTGTTGTTTTTTTTAAGGCCGATGCTTCCCAAGACAGTTTTCCCCCATTGGAATGTATTAAATAGATTTCAGTGCATTCCAATAGGGAACCGCGTTTTGCAAGACAATGTTTTCTATGGACGATTTTCGCAAGACGATGATTTTTTCCCCACTGGAACACATTAAATAGATTTCAATGCATTCCAATGGGGAACCGTGTTTTGCAAGACGATGTTTTCACAAGACAGTGATTTTCGTGGAATGAATTAACATCCAATTAACATCCATGAAGATGCCAGCCACAGAGACTGGCAAAACGTTAGAAAGAAACACTTTCAGAACACGGCCAAGAAGCCCAAAAAACCCACAACAATTATTAGATCCCGGCCGTGAAAGCCTTCGCGAATACATTGAATTAACATCGTTTTGTGAGGCATCACTGTACTGGCTCATGCATTTGCCTTTAGCTATCTTTAAGGTGTATATGGGAGGGAAGCTGTATGGGTTTTGCACTACATGCCATCAGCTTCAAATTTTCTTGTTTTAATTACTTTAAAGAAAGGAAAAGCAAAGATTTACTTTTTAAAAATTACAATTAAAATTATAATGATGTTATAATAACCTAAGGGGTCATGCATATAATTGTTGTGTGCTGTTAAATCACTTCCGACCCTAATATGGTTTTCAAGGTATGTAAGATGTACAAGGGAGAGTTTACAGTTGTTGTCCCCCAATGAGTTTCTATGGCTGAGCAGGGAACTCTATCCATTATACCACTATGGCTGTCATTCACAATATATTTTCTTACTATATATCTCTCACTCTCTGTGTGTGTGTGTGTGTGTGTGTGTGTGTGTGTGTGTGTGCGTTCTGTGCCATCAAGTCAAAGCCACCTTATAGCAACCCTAATAGGGCTTTCCATGGCCATGTAGGGATTCAAACCCTGGTCTCCAGAGTCCCTAGTCCATCAGTCTTTCCACTACACCACACTGGGAATCCCATTTCACCCTATACATATAACTAAGTACTTTTTAAAATGTTCTAAGCTCTGGAATTCATCTTTATTTTGAAAACAGGAACTTAAATGAAATGTTTCATTTGCACTAGCTATTCCAAGGGTCATACAGTTGAAGAGCCATTCAGGAAAAAAGAGAGATAGTAACCCCAGTTTAGCACTAAAGTAGGGGAATCGCTAGATTTTTTCAGGCCCAGATTTTTACAA